GGGGCCGGGCGGTGAGTTCTGCGCGTCGAGTCTCCCCTGGTGGTGGGAGTGCCCGCCTTGTGTTCTGGCTGGACGGTCAGCGCCGCGCCGAATTCCCCCCCGGACTACTGCCTCCCGTCCCTGGGAAGAACGCGAGAGACGGGGTGAGCAGCCGGCGCCCCGCAGTGCCAAGGGGAGCCCTGGTCCTGCCCGGGGGACGGAGTCAGTGCGGAGGCCGAGCAAGACCCCGAGAGGACCCCAGGCCGGAGCCGTCCCAAGCCAGGGAGGGTGCGGAGGGGGACGGGAGGGAGGCGAGGACCGCTGAGGGAAGTTGGTGCGTCATCGATGCCTACTCTTTAGTGGGCTCTGGGGGCACAGAGTTGAGGTAAGGTGACTTTAGACGTCAGAGAGTTAGGCAGTCTTTTCTTTCTAGACCCCAGCTTGGAGGTTCAATTCACAGGAAGGGTTTGACCTGGGTAAAGCCGCTGTTCCTGGTGTTTCTGGGCTTATATAATAGGAGGTCTGGGAGGGCCCTAGCAAATCACTCCCCCCATCTTACTAATCAGAATGGGTGGACCATTTAAAATAATTCATGCAAACCGGGAAGAACGTCCTCTTGATTGTAGCTGTTCATTGAGCATATCTGTTCACAATGGTATCTCGAGCTCTGGGCTTCAAATTCTCCCACATACGAAGTGAGCATGTTGCATCGGATGTTCTGGAAGGTCCTAGAATGATAACTATTGCTGGATAACTCCGGTCTGATTAAATCACCAAGCACAGTGCCTCTCCTCTCGAGTCCTAGACTAAATCTGGACAGTATGGAGAGAAGAGTAAATACCACGAGTGTTCAAACGGAGGTGATTCTCAGATAAAAGTTGGTCTTGTTTTCCTTTTTTAAGTTCCTTAATGCATACATGTATACTTTATTAAGAAAAGAAAAGATCTTCAGAAGAAAAGGGGTATTTGGGAAGAGCAGAAAAAGAAAGCTGCTTCAGTGAGTTTGAGGTCAAAAGGTAACCTGATGAGGCAGAGAAGAAGGTGACACCATTGAAGGGAAGGGGCAGAAGCAAAGGGATGGCTAGCTCCTCAGTGGCAGTCCTAACAGTTCCACTTCATTTCATCACCATTTGTCAGGACTTTTATTACCCTACCAGAATCCAGTTTCTGTCATTTATCTTCTCCAATTCCATCCCTTGTTTGCAAGTTAGCAAAAAAACATATGGTTTGACCTCTAATTTCTTCATATCAACTCAGCTTACCCTGCATAGCAGCCAATAAAAATAAAAATAAAAATCCCTCCTAATTCTCAAGGTTCAGCTTAACCACCAGATGACACTCCCTCCTTCTCTGTATTTGGAGCCACCAAACATATTTCAAAGCCTTCTTTCGTCACATAACTAGGATATTGTGGATTTCCAAATTTCTGCTTCTTCCATAATCCTCATTTGCACAATCCAAACAAATTTTAAACCAGCATGATGTCAGCTGGCTTTCAGTTGATTCAAAAAAAGAGAAAGGTGGATGCTGCAATGTCTTTTGTGATCCAGCATCAAAAGTCATTCACCATCATTTCTGCAATGTTCTACTGATTTTTCAGGTCAAATCTATTTAATGTGGGAGGGGAACTACAAAAGGGAATGAATACCAGTAAGCAAGAATCACTAGGGGTCATCTAGAAATGTGGGGCAGAATCCAGCCTTCCCCATCTACTTACCTATGTGTAAATACGAGGTTTCATTTCCTTGTATGTAAAATGGGACTGCTGATATTTATCTTGCAAGACTGATGATATGAGGCATAAATGTATAAGACACAGCATCAGCATCTTGGTATCTGACAACTGTTGTTTGGCTCATGTGACAGTTTTGTTCTGTGCTTCTTTAGCTAAGCTGAAATTTAGTTCCACAAATGTCCCTTCCCAGTAGGGCTCCAGGATAAGATCGGCCTCAAGAGAAATTTCTGTAAGACTTGGAAGGAGCAAGTGAAGCAGCAGCCCTTGTGCCTGAAGGGCGATGCACAATACCAGATGCCGCTGTAGATCACAGAGTTGTAACAGATCTGTAAACGCACTTTGTTAGTGCAAAGCATCAGATGGCCCACAGCTCCTCTAGCTCCCACCAGATTTCCTATTTCAGCTTCTCCAAAGCCCTGGGGCAAAGTACATGTGTATTTCCATGGCAAGGGCATTAGCTTATGATGCAGATCACATGTTCATTAATTTGAGAGAGAGCTGTGAGTTCCTTTTTGTCATCATGGGTTCTAATCATTCCTGTAGATTCCAGTTTGTCCTCGCTCGGCTTTGAACAGGGGTGGGCAGAAGCTAAAAAGGTCTTAAGTGAAGCCTTGAAGGACAGACAGTAAGGGAATTGTTATTGAAGGCTGATGTTATGAGTTGAAGTATGTCTGCCCAAAATACATATGTTGAAATCTTTTTTTTTTGGAATTGGAGTCTCACTCTGTCACCCAGGTTGGAGTGCCATGGCATACTCATAGCCACCCCAGCATCGACCTACTGGACTCCAGCAATTCTTCCACCTCAGTCTTCCAAGTAGCCGGAACTACAGGCGTGTGCTACCATGCCCGGCTAATTTTTGATTTATTGTAGAGACAAATTCTCGCCAAGTTGCCCAGGATGGTCTCGAACTCGCAGGCTCAGGCAATCCACTTGCCTCAGCCTCCCAAAGTGCTGGGATTACAGGCTGAGCCACAAGCCTGGCCCATATGTTGAAATCTTAACCCCCAGGACTTCAGAATGTGATCTTATTTGGAGATGGGATTTTTACCGACGTATTCCAGGTAAAATGAGGTCATTAGGATGGGCCCTAATGCAATTTGACTGGTATCCTTATAAAATGGGAAAATTTAGACATAAACGTGCACACAGTAATAATGCCATGTGACCCTGAAGGCAGATACCAGAGTGATGGGTCTGCAAGCCAAGAAATGCCAAAGATTGCTACTGGCAAAGTACTAGAACCTAGGAGAGAGGCAGCCCTTAGATGGAACCAATTCTGCCAACACCTTGATCTTGGACTTCTAGCCTCCAGAACTGTGAGATAAATTTATATTGTTTAAGCCACCCAGTTTGTAGTACCTTATTACAGCACCCCTAGAAAACTAATACTGTTGGCTACAAGGTGGCTCTTGTTACATAGTGGCAGAAAGTTTGGTGATACTGTTGTTTTAGGTAATGTAAAACAGAAAGAATATCTGATAAAAAATAGAAAGGGCACGTAATAATCTTGTGGATTTACAGTGAGGATGTTGAAAATGCCAAGTGGTTTCTCTGATTGTCTAAGACAAAATACAAGAGAGTTGAACTAAAGAAGGAATTATTTAATTTTCAAGCAGAATTGAGAAGGAATGTAAAAAAGCCAAGACTTGATAAATTAAAAAATAAAGTTGTTTCTAATCTCTAGTCTTTCCCTACAATAGACTCTCACAGCAGGACATGGCCGAATAGCAAAAATTAAATCCAGCACACTTTAAGTAAAAATAATCTCAGGATTTTTTGCAGCTCAGGAAGCAGTTGTAAGATTGAAGGCTATGCTTCATAGACATTCCCAAATAGGTAAGGAGGCTTCAGGAATCTTAAGACCATCATCTTAGAGTACATTGATTCTAAGTCCAAAGAAGAGGAGGGATTTTCTCTAAAAGACTTTAGGGAGTGGCTAGAGTGAATCCCAGTACTATTAATAGGAAATACATTATTTTTTAAGAGAATTGTATTGGTAGAAGTACCACCAACTTGGACTAAAAAGAATAGAAACAGTTCAAAATGAAAAGAGACTTCAGGGTACACAACTTCATATGAAGAAGAAGCAGGCTGAGAAAGCAACTCATTTGCAAACACAGGTTGTTTCTTATGGACAAAGAAGAATAACTAAGCCAGGCTTCGGTGGCTCAGCCTGTAATCCCAGCACTTTGGGAGGCTGAGGTGAGTGGCTTGCCTGAGCCCACGGGTTCAAGACCCGCATGGGCAACTTGGCAAGACCTCATCTCTACAATAAATCAAAAACTAGCCAGGCGTGGTAGCGCGCACCTGTTGTTCCAGCTACTTGGAAGGCTGAGGCGGAAGGATGACCGGAGCCCAGCAGGTCGAGGCTGCGGTGGCCGGGAGCGGCCACTGCACTCCAATCTGGGTGACAGAGTGAGACTCCAACTCAAAAAAAAAAAAAAAAAAAGAATAACTAAATGCAGAACAAAGAGCTCAAAGGGAAGAGCCAAAAATGACAAAGAAACACTCCCATGGCACAGAACTGGAACTATGGGTTTCAGAATTGCTATGAACCAGTGACTATTCTGTGCCTCTCATCCTGCCTCACTTTGCCTTTTTGAATGGGAGTGTTTATTGTAGTTTTACTATCTTTATATTATCATTACATGTTGGTCAGTGTGCAAAAAATAGTTAACATAGCAGTCCTGACTGCTTATCCATAGAAAGTTCTGTTTACCAGGCTGGCCTTTGGCTGACCACTGGGAACTTAAATTTTGAGAGGGTTTCCACCATTAACAGATAAAAGTGAAGTGGCTCTATAGGCCTAAACTGTTTGTACAAACAATACGTTTTCTGCTGAACACCTGCCTTCCTCTGAGAGTCTGCCATTTGGGTGTGTGCCAGGCAGAAGCTGTCTACATGACCTGCCCTCAATTAAAGTCCTGGATATTAAATCTCTAGTAGAGTTTTCCTGGTTGGCAATGTTTCACCTGTGTATTTTGGTTTAGATTTTGGTTTGTTTGTTTGTTTGTTTTTTAGAGATGGGGTCTCACTCTGTCACCCAGGCTGGAATGCAGGGGTGTAATCATACCTTATCACCGTTTTGAA